CAACAACAACAAAAATGTATTGAGCCCATTTATAAGGACGCTGAGCCTAGTACTTTATATTCTTTATTCCATTTAAGGAAAAGAGAAGTCCCTGTCATTAAGGACCTGACAGCCCATCTGGAAAGACAGAAATATATTCAAAGTTAGGGGTTTTCCTGAAATATTTAATAACTGGGCTGGACACCAAGCTGTGAGAAGGGATGCCAGTTGTAAACACCCAAATGAGCCATGCAAGTGGCCCTCAGCAGCAGGCCGGCCCTGGTCGTACTGAATGTGGGGGGGGGAGCACTCTACTGCAAGTATTAACAGGAAGTCATTAGGTTGGCCCTGCAAGGTTCCAGATTTGGCCACAGTGGCAGTCTGGGAAGATCACATCCCCTTGGATGGTCAGAGTTTTATATTACGCATTTCCCGATGACCAGAACTTCATCTGAACTCTTTCTATAATACGCCGAGTGTTGTATTCCTTGCATTTAAGATGTGATGTTTCATGTATGGAAGGTTATGATATCACGTCTCAAAAGGTAATTTTCGCTACCCAAGTGCATCTCATTTGGGTATAGCATTTTTGTTCGGCTCACCTGACTGTGTTAGCATGGCCTCTTCTAGTCTGTTGGGTGGTGTTCAGTCCCTCTGGTGGGTAACATCTGCATTTAGAAAATCGGAAGAACCATTTCCTATGGGGATTGCCTAACCGAGAAAAATAGGACCCCGGCTTTCATTATTTTGGAGCAAACATTTTATCTTCTACATCAACACACTCCACCTACCAAAGCATAGGTATATCACCAAAATGTATTCTCTGAATCAGGCTTTCTCAGTCTCTGCACTGTTGACATTTGGGGCCAGATAATTTTGTCCCGAGCATGGCCTGATAGTCAGTAACGTCCCTGGATTCTGCCCACCAGCTGCCCAGAACACCCATGCCTGCAGTGTGACGGCCAGAAATGTCTCCAGACACCGCCAAGTGACCCGAGGGTCGTGGATGAGGAGGGAGTGATGTAAATATCGCGGGCTGAGAACCACTAGTGCAAATACAATTTGAGGGTCCCAGAGTCCTTTTCTGCAAATGGCTGTTACAACTGCTGGGTTGTTGTTTTGGTTTTTTTTTTTTTTTCCTTGTGAGGTTGATTTGAGAATTATGCCATGTGTTTGTTAAAAGTAACAAATTTGGGGCACCTGGGTGGCTCAGTGGGTTAAGCCTCTGCCTTCGGCTCGGGTCATGATCTCGGGGTCCTGGGATGGAGCCCTGCATGGGGCTCTCTGCTCAGCGGGGAGCCTGCTTCCCCCTCTCTCTCTGCCTGCCTCTCTGCCTACTTGTGATCTCTGTCAAATAAATAAATAAAATCTTAAAAAAAAAAAAAAGTAACAAATCTCCATTGAGTCCTCTTCCCAGAAGAGTGAGGCAGGATGGTGTGCTTTGGTTAGGCCCTGGGATTTGGGGAGCCCGGTTGTGGCTGGTTGTGAATACCAGATCTGCTTCCATTTAGCTTCGGGACCTTGGACGATGTATGTAAACTTCTCTGAGCCTCGGTGGTCTGTCTCACAAAATGAGGCTCTAAGTAGTAACCCCCAGTATACTGGGGGTTACTCACTCTCAGGCACAGAAGCATTCGATGGATAGAAGGACGGCTGGGTAGAAGTGGTCAGTCTGGCTTTCTAAAAGCCTGTGATCCTGCAAAATTCTGTCTTTGTGGGACTCCAGAAGGCAAAACACATCCACTAGCTTGATCATGAGTACTAACAGTACATTCATCAAGTATAACTTCTTTTACAATGAAAAAAAGCACAAATCAATAATAGAGTGATTTGGTTTTGCTTCCAGTTACAGCAAGGGATCACCCGACATGAGTCACTGTTTGAGGTACAGTCATACAGTACAGCTGTGACTATCCCAAATGTAGTCATTTCCAGGTGAATTTGCAGTTAAATGATTAACCTATATTATAAGTGCTATTAAAAAAAAAAAAAGCCTATGATGATGCCTTCCCCATCCTGGCGTGGTGTTATACCTTTGGGTGATCCCTAATATTGATTTAAGATTCAAAAAGACAGTTTGATCCTTTCTGTCCAAGGCTTTCCCTCAGTCTTTTATTACCCCAGGAGGTCCCCTCCCCTCACCCCCAGCCTGTGGCAAGTGCACACTCCTCAGCACTGTTGCACATGCCAAGGCACGTTCCTTTTTTCTGGGTACCCCAGACAGGAGGGAGCTTGCTGCCATTCGTCTCTGTGTGGGCGTGCCCTTGACCCGCCCCTCCCTCCTCCTCTCTGACCTCCGTGATAAAGGAACAGTGAGCAGATTTCCTACCCAGAGGGTGTATCAGGAAACTGCCGATGAAATCAACAGAAATACAACAGTTTTTACACGGGCTGAAACTCACGGAATTGGAAACCCGATGTGTCAGTGGAAAGACAGAGGTGGGAACCAGACAGCTCTTTCTACTTCTGTTTCTCCTATTACGTGGCTGCCCTCCATCCTCACAAAGACATGATACAACATTAGGGACTTGGATGGAGCATCCTTCATAACAGTTACAACTAGCCTTATCACTTACCGAATGTTCATTCTAAACCAGACACTGGGCTGAGTGCTTCATAAACATAACCTCACTGACCCCTTGCAATAACCCCCTGAAGCAGGCGTTGCTCCCATTTTATGGATGAGAATGCTGAGACTCAGAAAAGGTAAGCAACTCCCTTCCATCGCCCCCCAAAAAACAAGTGAGGGAACCAGAATGCAAACCCCTGGTACACTCCACCATCCACACCCTAGCGGCAACAGCACGAATTAAGTGTCATTCCAGTTCACTTGGGCTATTACAGACACATCTGTGAAATCACATTTTCCATAAACTTGAGATTTCAGGTGAAGAAACGGCTTTGCCTTTTAGACTTGAAGACTCAGTCTCGTACCATTAACTTCTTTTGCAGACCCAGTTGCCATCGAATTACTTCCATTTAGCTTCGGGACCTTGGAATAAACCAGAGCCCTTCACCTTTTAAGTAGGGTTTTTGCTTGCAGGAAGTCTATTTGCTCTCGATGCAGGGACTTGCTGAATGAAGGCAGAAGCGCTAGTATTCCACTTTTGTAAGTGATAAGAGGGGGAGGTGGTGGCTTTCAGAGATCATGTTTCAAGTCCAGCCCTGGTTTTTATGTGTGTGGGAATGGACGCAAAGGAAAACACAGCTGAGCTGCATTGTGGTTCTTCCTGTAGAACCTGTTCATGCCCAGAGTGAGTAAACCCCGGGGTAGAAATGTCTCCCAGAGACAGCCCCCAGTGAAATTTGTGCCTGGATTCAAAGCAACTCATTTCCCAGGAAGTTATCATCGGGATCCACGCTCTGGCCTATTTTAAAAAAATGTGCCTCCCTTCTGGGAAGATCTGCCAGGGAGAACTTTGCCCTCTTTCTCCCTGATGGGGGGGGGGGGAAGGAGCAGAACTGGGGAGGTGTCACTCGCTAGAGCTGCTGATGTCAGTAGCGTGTCAGCCGTGGGAGGCTCTCTTTGTGAAACTGAGTTACACCTAGGTGTCTTATGAAACTCCGTTCAGAGCTCACCGGAGCTGCTCTCTGGGACAGGGAGGTAGAACGAACCTCGGGGTTTTCCTTCACAATATTCTGTCCCATTTTTGGAATCTCTGGATGAAAAGAAATGAAAGCGTCCCATCTACGGACATTTTAGGAAATGGGTATGTAGCTTTAAGCTTTCACTAAACTCTTTCCACCTGGGTGATTGTTGTGGTTACACTGACTGCATGTTCGGACCACGAACGGCTGTGTCCTTAGCATGTGCGGGTTTCTCTGTGTTTGGGGACTGAGGGTCCACTTGGAACACCTTTGTCTCCCAGTTAGGCGTGCACACGGACGTTAAGTTCATGCTGTTCCTTTACGTGAGGTTCACATGTTCATAAAAAGTCTTGGCTCCTGTACTTTGGGACATGGTTGTGCTTTGCAATAAGACAAATCAAATTCTCCCCTGAGATTCTCTGAGCATAATTTCAAACTCCGGCCAAAGTGTACTAATCATCAATAGTGGGACAAGTTCCAAGTTGAGAGAAAAAGCTGAGGCTCAGGCTAGTACAAGGGGGTTGGGAACAAACCCAGAAAATACAGCAGGGCACTCCGTCTCGTGAATGGGCTGCCTTTTACAAATTATTTGATCTTCAAATGCACATTGCTAGCTAACTTCTGTTTCTCCCAACCAATTTGCAAGGGACACCGAGGGCAGCATTAGAATATCAGCGGTGGGAATATGAAAGTCTGTTGACAAAGATTGGAGGCTCTAGCAGAAACCAAGAGGGCAACGGCATATTTACCCCCATCCTGGTGCTGGGTTTCTGTTACATTTAGGGTAACTCTTTTAGGTGGGAAACTGGTGTCACAGAGAAGCACCCCTGCTTGGGGTTCCATTTTACTTTCACTTTGCATTCTTTTGAAATTTCATCCTGTGGTTCTACTGAAACGTCCCTTCGACCATATTTCCATTTAAATATGAAGTCAACATCTTTGATCAGAAGGCATGTATTTACTGGAAACCGCGAGGATTTCCTAACTATTTTTTATTTAGTTGAGTTAGAGGAAAAATAACATGCGTGTTCCCCACACTTGCCTGATTACTGTCAGAGAAAGGAATAGAATGGTTTCAGGTTGTTGGTTTGTAAAAGACGCACCATGTATTCTTGCTTGGCCTTAGTGCACCTTCTTGATTATTTGGTGATTAAGCTGAGTTCCAGATTTAGTAAAAATCAGCATTAATGGGGCGCCTGGGTGGCTCAGTGGGTTGAAGCCTCTGCCTTCGGCTCAGGTCATGATCTCAGGGTCCTGGGATCGAGCCCCGCATCGGGCTCTCTGCTCAGCAGGGAGCCTGCTTCCTCCTCTCTCTCTCTGCCTGCCTCTCTGCCTACTTGTGTTCTCTGTCTGTCAAATAAATAAATAAAACATTTTTTAAAAATCAGCATTAATTAATGTGGTGCGTCTGTTCTATGTTCTCAATTTCTTAGTTATTCCAATGGAAACAGCTGGAGAACTTATATTTCCGTGAGAAGAAATTCGCCGTTGAAGTTCACGATCCACGGAGGTGAGGGGGACAGCCTTTTCTTTGTGAGGTCCCAGTGACTATCGCCGTAGCAATGCTACTGGGAACATTCATGTGCCAGGCTTTGTGCGGACATGTTTTCATTTCTCCGGGATAGACCTGGGAGGGGAATTTCTGGGTCAGTGGTAACTCTTTAACCTTTGGAGGACCTGCTACAGTTTTTCCACAGGAGCGCCACCATTTTGCATTCCCACCGACAATGGATATGGTTCCTTTTTCTCCACATCCTCCCTAACAGTTATCTTTAGTTGTGTTTTGTTGGTTTTTTAATAGTCATCCTGGTGGCATACAGTGATAGCCCGTTTTGGTTTGGCTTTGCATTTCCCTCATGACTGACGATGGCTAAGTGTCTTTTCATGTGCTTTTCGGCCACTTGGATACCTTCTGAGAGAAATACCTGTTCAGATCCCGTGCTCATTTTTTAATTTGGTATTCCTGGTCACTTCTAAAGCAACAGTTGCCAAGTTATAACCACGGATTGAAGTCAGGATTGGAGGCTCTCCGAGCTCGTCAGAGGAATTCATTATCAGTCCCCAGTGTTTGCCTTTCAGATATGTTTATGGATGCTTGGAGGTCAGAGGGATGGGGGAAACAGCTGTGACAAAAAGAGGACCAAGAGATAAGCCAGATTCCTACAAAGAACATTAGTATCCTTCTCCCTCCTTCCCCACAGCATCTGCCTACCTCCCCAACTCCCCACCCTCTCCTCTTCTGACCGTCTCTCCTTCTCTTATCTGGTGCATAAGCAGGACACTGGACCAGTGTCAGACTTGTATATTTGCAGACCATATTATCTGCTCAGCCTCTGATGATGTCAGACCCGCCCAAGCCTACCTAGACCTGAAATGCTCTTTTACCTTGAGGAAGGTGTTGACACTGCCCTCTCAGTTGGGTTATCTTTGATATATGATCACCTTCATTCCTGACCTCTTGTGATGCTCACACATCCTGTGGTTTTTAAGTAGAAGTTTTTAGTATAGCCCCTAATTTGAGTACTTCTTATCACTTGGGGTATGTGTACATGCATTTTTAAACCTGCCAGTTTTACCAAAAAAGAGATTATCTAGTTGCAGTGGGTTTCTTCATAAAAGGAGAAGATCAAATCTTGGCTCCTGTCGGCATCAGAGTGTGGCAGCCAGAAAACAATTAAAAAGATACTTCATGGTCACATTCCTCAGTGGGTACCTTTTGTGGTGTGCTGGGCCAGAGGTGAATGAATTGAATATTTTCCTTAATCTTTCAGGATTTCTGTGTCAAGAAGAACCTTTGGGCAAAGTGGCCTCTTTGTGCAAACGTGGTATGCAAATCCTTCCCTCATCAAGTCCATCTGGGTAATGGCAATTAGTCAGCATCAGTTTTACTTGGACCGGAAGCAAAGCAAAGTAAGTCACTGGAGCATTTCTATAGGAACAGACTTCCCTCCCTCATTTGCTTTCTGTTTCAAGATAAGCTTTCTCAGAAAAGATGCAAGCACGTGGGTTTCTGTTCTTTGAGTTTTTGCTTTCTAAACTTTCTGACAAACTGTTATAATAATTTTTCTTACATTTAAAACAGGGGCATTTTATAGCCTGATCTAGGAGTTGTAAGACGTGCCAACTTTTTGGCACATGTGTACATGGACACAGGTGGCGTACTAAAGTTAATGACTGAACTATATACCATGAGAGAGGATCATGCGTATTTAAACTTTGTCTATGTAAAGCCTAAGTCTTATATTTTTTTTTCTTCTGAAGTGTCACTTGGGCATGTAAAAATTCTAAATCATCCTCTGTGTTAACATACTTATTCCATCATAACTTAATCATTTTATTCATTTAAAATAGGTTCAGTTGAGTGAATTCTGTTTCCATGTTGTATACCTCTTAGGCAAAAATTCCTTCAGCCAGGAGTTTAGACGATATCGCGATGGATTTGACGGAGACAGGAACACCGAGGGTCTCCAAAATGGTGACACTGGAGGCAAAAAGTCAGTTCATCATGGCGAGCAATGGCAGTTTAATCTCCTCAGGTAATGTTTTTGGAAAGTACCAGTGATCTTTACTTTTCACTTTGGTCATAAACTACTTTGGGGGCTGATAAATGCATTTTAGGCCCATTATTTGGGGGAATGAATAAGCCTGTCAAAACCTGCAACATGTAGCATAAACCAAAGTTTTAAGAAGTGGAAGGAAAGTTAAATTATAAAGAATCAGCTTGTATGAACAACACTAGTTACAAAGATAGTGAACGCCTCAGGATTAACATGAAAGGACATTTTCTCCTCATCTGTTCTATCGAGTTCTTCTTCTCCCAATATTTAGTTTTTGATTCAGACAGTTGTCTAATGCTCTACTTAATATATAGTCAAACATGACTACAAGCATCAAACCTCACCCCAACCCCACCTCCCAGTGTGACTGCTACCCTGGAGCCCTTCCTCCGTAGAAACTCTGCAGTCTCTTATCACTGAGTATAACTTCACTCAAATGAATTCTCCCCATCTAAATCCTATTGTCAGCTCTTAATCTGAGGCACAGAACGTTCCTTTGCCTCGCTTACCTGCTTTCTACCAGGACATTCTAAACAACTATCTCCAGGAACATCTTACCTTCTCTCCTGCTCAGAAAAATGAAATTCTTCCTTGGGTGTGTCTGAAACATTAAACATTTTATCATTGCTTCTAAAATGACTGAGCCAAAATACAGAGGGTATATATAATTACCAGGCTGCGTTGGATGCCCAGAAGCATGAGAAAATGTTCTCCAGTTTCCTTTTATTATGTTCGGAAACAAGGAGAAAAGAAATAAATTATTATTTAATAGCAGGCCAACCTTAAAAGTCCTTTGTCCTTTAAAAAAGGAAGGAAACATGCCTTGTATGAACCTTCCCTGCCCTCCCTTCCAATCCCTCCAGGTTCTCAAGACTCAGAAGTTAGCGAGGAGCAAAAGAGAGAGAAAATCCTGGAGCTCAAGAAGAAGGAAAAGCTCTTGCAGGAAAAGCTCCTGAAAAAAGTGGAGGAGCTTAAGAAGATCTGTTTGCGGGAGGCTGTGAGTGTCTTCTGCTTTGGGGGGACTTGTCACACTGTGTCTGACAATCTGGCGGGTGTCACTTACCCCCTCTCGGTTCTGTCCTGTTTTATAGGAGCTCACTGGCAAAATGCCAAAGGAATATCCGCTGAACGTAGGTGAGAAACTGCCTCAGGTCAGAAGGCGTGTAGGCACCGCGTTCAAATTGGACGGCAGTCTGCTGGCGAGTGAAGAGGTAGGAGCACCAACGCTGAGCAGTTCTATTAACAACAGGACAGAAAAGCAGCCGGCTGAATGCGGCTGACTTGTTCCTTTGGTTTTTGAGTCCCTGCTGAACCTTGCTATCTCGCCACTTGAAAGTGATGTAGTAGACCAAACTGAATTCTTCCTTTCATGCACAGTCCAATTACGGTTGAGTTCTTTCTCACTACTTTACTCCTCCCAGGCATAGAGAGCGTTAGACAAACCCCAAATGTTTATAAACTGAGAACCTTGACCATAAGAATGAAGAACTCCAGCATTAGACGCTTCCACATAAAACAGAGAAACCTTTGACAAATACGTTTGCCCTTTCTGGTGTGTCATTTTTCAGATCTCAGTTCCTCATCCATAAAATGAGAGTCATCCTCGTTCTTCCTGCTAACGGATACAGGGTGTCATAAATGACATAATACACGGGCAGCATTCAGGTATAATAAAGTTCTAGTATAGGGTGAACTTTTTCATTTGCATATCATCAGATCGTAGGGCCCTACTCCTATTTCTTACCCAGATTTAGCCATCATGGCTGTAGAAAATGATAGCAGTTTCTATCCATAGTAGAGTGAGCTTTGCAAATTTTTAAAAAGGTGTCTTCACTTACTTTAGAGAGAGCACCTGCATGAGCAGGGGGAGGGGCAGAGAGACAGGGAGAGAATCTCATACAGACTCCTCGCTGAGCACGGAGCCCGACACAGGACTCCGTCCCATGACCCTGAGACTGTGACCTGAGCCAAAATCAAGAGTCAGACTCTCAACTGACTGAGCCACACAGGCACCCTGGGCTCTGAAACTTACTGAGTATACCCAGTCCTGAACTAAGCAGTGCACACGTATTATCTCATTTAAACTTTGCCATATTTTTACAAGGTAGATATTCTCTCCATTTGAAATGGAGATGCAGAATGAAAAAAAGCCTGCAGCACTAAGAAATTAAGCATGTTGGGGCACCTGGGTGGCTCAGTGGGTTAAAGCCTCTGCCTTCGGCTCAGGTCATGATCCCAGGGTCCTGGGATCGAGCCCCGCATCGGGCTCTCTGCTCAGGAGGGAGCCTGCTTCCCCCTCTCTCTATGCCTGACTCTGCCTACTTGTGATCTTTGTCTGTAGAATAAATAAGTAAAATCTTTAAAAAACAAAAAAAATTAAGCATGTTTCCAGGGTCACTCAAGAGCGAACCACCAGAAAGAGAAATCAAACCCAAATGTATCCGTCTCTAAAGCTAAGCATATAAATACAACCTTCTGTGTCGGTGAATCTTGGCTTAGGAATAGGAATCTCTCCTTGAAAAATATAATTGTCACCTGACCCACTACATGAAGGAAAGGCCATTCCCTTCTTTAAAAGGAAAACAGTAAGTGTAAGTAAGTGGATGAGGGAGGTCTGGTCTTTTAGAAAAGTGTTGGAAGATGCCTGTACCGTCACCTTAGGAAGGTTTTATTCTCAAAGGGCATCTGATCTGAGAATGTACAAGAACTGGTATCATTGTCTAATGCAGGATCCTGCTTTGCAAGACCTGGAGAGCAATTTCCTCATACAGCAAAAGCTAGTCGAAGCTGCGAAGAAACTTGCCAACGAGCCAGACCTTTGTAAAACAGTGAAGAAAAAACGAAAGCAAGATTACACAGAGGCAGTGAAAAAGCTTCAGGAGATTGAAAATGCGATAAATGAATATCGAATCAGATGTGGAAAGAAGCCCAGCCAGAAAGCCACAGTTACTTTACCAGGTTCGTAATAAGTAAGGTTTTTCCGGTCACATATGATGGTAGTAGCATTTCCAAGTTCATTGGGTGAGAGATACAAGAAAGGACTGGTTTTAAAAGTAAGTTTCTTAGGGTGAAAATGGTTTGGGATGTCAGTCTTGCAAGTGGGTAAACGTGGTTTTCACGGACATTCTCACTATGGTAATACTACACTATTGCGTTGCTTTCATTTGCAGTTTGAAGGCACATTCATAGCAGTATTGGTTCATAATCCCCTTTTACTGGCCTGACGTCGTTGCAGGAAATAGAGTTGGCGGCACAGAGTAGTAAAGAGAGTTGGGCCTACCCAGCCGTTTCTCAAAGGGTTTTAACGCAGGGACATACATTTGTTGAAGGGCCTATCCAACATTTGTGAAAAGAGCTCTTACAGTTCCTGTCAGTTGTGGAGGTTATTTAAAGCTTGGGACAAATGTTGTGATAGAACACGAAATGCAGAAAGCAGGGTATTAAATCATAACCACAGCATGACCCCGACATCATGTGAAGATGGACCTACAACAACTGGTTGGGAAATACTTCAAAATGCTAGTAGTTGTGGTATTTCGAATAACTTGTTTTTCTTCTATTTTCAAAATTCTCAACATTATATCCTTAAGACTTTCATAATCAGAAAGAAAAAGTACACTGAAAATCTCACTTAAGTCAATTTCAGGTTCACTTGGCCTTACTTTATCAGCATGGTTTTCAGCCTTGATCGCCGGTTGAAATATGATTAGATTTCCTTGATCCCAAGACTGTTTTTTTCACATTTAAACATCTGTGGAATTTGAATAATTTTACACTAGATGGTGTGTTACAGTTACAATTGCCAATACATTTTCTCGTTTTACTGAGACATAAAATAATTATGTCAGATTGGATGAAATGTGGTGACTAGGTTTGGCGTATGCTCGGGTTTGGGGAGGTATGGTTTATAAAGCAGAGATACGGCTTTTTGGAAAGGGACGAACACTTGTTCATCCGCTACAACTGGAGAATTTAGGATGGCTTTGACTCCAAATGAGACGTCCAGTTGGCTTTGGAGGTGGTTCGGTTTTGGACCTACGGAGATGGGTGATTAGCAATGTACTTAACTTTCATAACCATTTGTTGTGGCCCATTCATCTGCAAACTGTGCAAGATTCAAGTGATCTCCTTTACAATGAGTGACATTTGAGCAGCAAATGGTGCCATGGTTGAGGATATATGGGGTAGATTTTTTTTTTTAAGTGTGCCTGACAGCTGACTACACTGGCACCTTGCCTTCAGACTCTACTGTGTGTGTGTACAGTTAAGAGATCGTCTGCCTGGCTCTGGAGGAGATTGCCATTTGAGATCAGATGGGTGAGATTTCCTTCATGATGGCATCGAAGCCTACCTTGCCAGGACCTGACCCTGGGTGTGGAATGATTTGCCAAGGCAGATGTGCACATCTGAGTTGCCTCCTGTTGCTACATACATTTTTTTTAATATTGGATGGGTAGCACTAATACTTAGGAACATTATGGGTATTTCCAACCACCAGAATGCTGTGTCTAGGTAATAAAAGCAATAACTATAGCTAATATTTATTGAGCATCTGTCCTGTACAAGGAGCTGGGCTAAGGGCTTGACATCTGTTATTTTAATCACCTTAGCACTAGGTACTGCTCTTATTCCCATTTTAGTTGAGCCAAGTGAGGCCAAGAGGAGTGAAGTCATTTGTCCAAGGTCTCACAGCTAGTAAGTGTCAAAACCAAGATGGAAACCCAGGTCTATCTAATTCAGGGGTTCTCAACCAAGAGCACTTTTGCACCCCCAGGGGATTTTTGGCAATATCCTCAGACATTTTTGGTTGTCGATATGGGGCGTGGCGGAGCTGCTGTTTGACAGCGGTTGGAGGCTGGAGATCCTACAATGTAAAGGACAGCTCCCCCCAGCAAAGATAATCCAGTCCAAAATGTCAGTAGTTCCACATGAGAAACCCGGGTCAACCGAAGGTTTGGTGCACCACCAAGTGTTCACCTATTAAGAAAAAGCCCTTGTCTTCAGGGAGGGGTCGAAAAATAATTTATACTAACAGCAGTTATTTCCAACCCTCATTTTCAAATGAGGGTTCAAGTGTATTTTGCATAACATTTCACATTTATGACATGAATGGCGTGATTTTTCTTTCCAGTTTATTGGTCATAAGCTCTCAATGTATAAGGTAAAGTTTTCATGCCATGTAGAAGCTAGATTGAAAATAAATTGAAAACAAAAACTGCATTGAAATCAGTTCCATTTCTCTTAAAGATTTTATTTGTTTATTTGTTTATTTATTTAGAGAGTGCATGAGTGGGGGAGGGGCAGAGAGTGAGGGAGAGAGAATCTCAAGCAGACTCTGCTGAGAGTGGAGCCCAGTGTGGGGCTTGATCTCACAACCCTGGGACTCCCATGACTGAGCCAAAATCAGGAGTCAGATGCTTAACTGACTGAGCCACCCAAGAGCCCCTAAATCTGTTCCATTTTAGGAAAAAGTCCAGTGTCAGGGCACCTGGGTGGCTCAGTCATTAAGCATCTGCCTTTGGCTCAGGTCATGATCCCGGGGTCGTGGGATCAAGTCCCACATCCAGCTCCCTGCTCAGCAGAAAGCCTGCTTCCCCTCCCACTCCCCCTGCTTCTATTCTCTCTCTTGCTGTCTCTCTCTCTCCCTGTCAAATAAATAAATAAAATCTTAAAAAAAAATAAAAAATAAAAGAAATAGTCCAGTATCATATTTGTACAATTCTAAGATGTTTATATCTTTACTAGTAAATGATTCCATTCTTATTAATTATTCTTAATGCACTATAATTATTTATACTTACTAAATAAAAATAAGATACACTGTATTGAGAATTGCTTTATGAAATTCACTGTAGGTGTATAAATGCCCAGTTATTCTAAAGGCACTTACTTTTATTCACAGAAGACATAATCCCATCGGAGAGCAGCTCCTTGTCTGACACTACCACCTATGATGATTGTGAGTAGCTCTTTTTCATTTTCAAATGTCATATGTTCTGAAATATTAAGACAGTTTCTTGAAGTAAAGCCTATGTGTTATTCTTTTGGGAAAAGTAGAATGAACTAACTTACATTTATACAGAATGGTTGGGGAAGGGAGATTATGATGAGCTTCTACTGAGGTTAACTCAGCATTAAACACAGTACCATACAGACCACTTTAACTTAGGAAATCAGAATACTATTATGCAACTAAGTCAGTCTATCAGTAAAGGTTTGTGAGCCTCTATAGAACTTTTTTAATTAGCATTCTTAGTTATTTACTTTTTTCTTTCCTTTTTTTTTTTTACTTTTAAGTAGGCTCCCCACCCAAGGTGGGGCTTGAATTCAGGACCCTGAGATCAAGAGTCATACGCTCTACTGACTGAGCCAGCCAGGCACCCCTCTGTAGGATTTTTTTTAAACGTTTTCTCTTGGAGTAATTACAGATTCATGGGGATTTGTATAGGTATTCAGAGCCTTTCATGCAACTTTCCCAATGGTGAATCTTCTATTTTTGGAGTCTTATCTCAAACTGTGAAATATAGTGTAGACTTTGATTATCCCTGTATTCTGGATGGCTAGGAGTTTATTTTCCTTAGAAAGAAATTGGGTTACATGTCATTGTATTGGTTTCCTAGAGGAAGGCCACATGTTTTGATGGCCTGTGTTTGTTCAGCACATTTGATGATGGAATGGATTTCATATCGAGTAGGAAAGTGCTTCCTTGTAATCCCTGGTGCTTAAGCAGAGGAGTGACTATCTGATATGATGTAAAGAATTCTGGGAAGCCACTAACCCATACGGCTTTATCTCCCCCATCCCCACCACCCCCCAAGTTTGATGGTGCATCAGACTCCACCACTCCAAAATTTTTCCTTTGAGCTGAAGCTGGGTCATGTTTTCCATTCCTCTTTGAAAATGCAGATGTCAGCAGGAGACATAACAAGTCTCTGATGACTCAGCATACATCAGTTACATCACTTTCAATGAATGGTAGGATGAGCCCCTGGTCAGCCAATGAGGCCTAAGAACTTGAAAGGTGAACAAAAGTGATCCACGCCAGCTTTACTGGCCAACTTCATTTTGCCCCTATACACACTGGGGGTTTTCTTTAATATAATTCTAGAAAAACCGTAGTATCACCCATTCTACCAGAATGATTTCTCTGCTCAGAGAATATAGTTATTGCTTTTATTACCTACTAAACTGGGAAAAGTTGGATCAGGCCCACAAGAGAATAGTTGACCCTTGAACAATGTGGGGGTTAGGTGTGGTCCCACTCCCGGTGGTTGAAAATCCAAGTATAACTTTTACTACCCCAAAACATAACTACTAACAGCCTAGTTTTGGCAGAAGCCTTATCATTAACTTAAACAATTAACACATATTTGTATGTTAAATGTATTATATACTGTATTCCTACAGTCAAGTAAACTAGAGAGGAGAAAATGTTATTAAGAAAATCATAAGGAAGAGGAAATGCATTTACTATACTGTACTATATTTATCGGAAAAAAAAAATCTGTGTGTAAGTGGAACCATGCAGTCCAAACCTGTGTTGTCCAAGGGTCAATTGTATTCAGTAATTTCCGTTTTCTAGTGTATAAAGTATAAAAATAAATGTCCTGAAATAATACACTTCTAAAAACATCAGATCTTCTGATTTGCTTTTTGGAGGGCTGGAAAGGTATTTATTGCCTTATTTATTTACCTACTTACTGATTCATTCATTCATTTACTTATTATAGCCAATGACACCTTCACTCTCGCTGGGCAGCGACCAAGTTCAGTACCTCATTCTCCAAGAATTCTTCCCCCCAAGTCTCTTGGTATTGAGCGAATCCATTTCAGAAAGTCATCCGTCAATGAACAGTTTGTGGAGACCAGGCAGTCCAGGTGAGAAATCCCATCTCCAGGGAGACAGATGCCTCACAGCCATGAGACCTTTCCTCCGAAACCTTGCCTCTTTGGGGCATTACCCTTTTTATCCTTTCAGAAGGGGTTATCCTGCAAAACCAAAGCATAGAAACTCACCCCATTATTTGTTGTTGACAACGAGCATATTTCTAAGAGTTCTTTTCAAAGCATTTGGCACTTTCCTATATTTTAAAGTCTGTTGGATTTATGTTAGGTTCCAGGGGCGTTATTTATAATCTGGATTTGGATATAACGTCTGAAGTTCCATTTCAAAACCCATGCTCTCAGGAAATGGACGTTAAATACCACGCTATCAGTGTGAGTGACAGAAATGACTTCCACTCTTTCCAAGGGAAATGAGACTTCCACTCATTTTGAATCTGTAAAATAGATAATGTGACTTTTCTTCTCGAATATCTCAGATAAATATTATCCAGGCAATAACACCAGTTTTTTAAAAAGATGACAGACCAGTGATTCTCAGAATTTGGCTACATGGATCAATACTACTTAAAAAAAAAAAAAAAAGGACCAAAGATAAATTACTAAATGTTTACTCTGCCTAATCAGAATGTTCACATAAATAATACCATGATTTCATGGAAAAAAAGACATGTAAATATCAAAAATACAGCCATTGTCATAATAATAATAATAAAATGAAGTTAACATTTATTGAATGCTTACTATATGTCAGACACTGTTCAAAGTATTTTAATACGTATTAATGAATTTAATCTGTAGTGTGACAACTGTCATTACCATTTATAGGTAAGTACACTGAGGACCAGAAAGCTTGAATAACCTGTTGGGTTCCTGTAAGTGTTGGAATCAGGATTTGAACCTATGTAGCCTAACTCCAAAGCCTATGGAGTGATTTTAACCAATATGTCACACTGCATCTCAGTGAAGGGGGAAATTAGTCTTAAAATAAAGGAAGATTATTTAGATTAAATAATTCTTCACTTAGGAAAATAGCACCGTGCTGTATTTCTCCTTTGTCAAAGACCATATCAGGCCCAGCTATTAGATTAGCCTTTAGAACTGTTGCCTAAACGATAGAAATCCAAGTGTCTAGAGCTGTGCCAGCCAGTGCAATTAAAAGTAAATAAAATTAAAAATTCACTTCTGAGTCATGCTAGCCACATTTCAAGTGCTAATGGGCACACATGTAGGCTAATGGCTATAATATTGGCATAGATATAGCACATTTCTATCATTGGACAGCCCTGGACAAATATATTTATTATATCAGGGGAAACAAATCTATTGAAGCAAAAGGAAGACTTATGACCAGAAATCATTATCTTAAAAATGACTATATTACTTCCTTAATAGCTTAAGATGGATTTGGTCATTGATCCAGCAATTTCACTTAGAGGAATTTTTCCTGTTGCATTAACTAACTACAGGATGCTCATCCCGTTACTGTTTACGCTAGTGACAAATTGAAAACAACCCAAATGCTCAACTAGTGAGTTGTTCAAATGATTTATAAATCCTTACAGTAGAATGCTCTGCTGTCATTAAAATAACATTGTGGATGAATGGTAACCAATACAAAACATTAGATACAGTTTTTTTAATGTGAGTTTTGAAAGAGAGTATAGAGTAAGATTATATTTTGTTGTTGTTAAAAACTGTAAATACCTATAAGTATGGTTAGTAAAAAATATCTGAAAATAGTCAGTGTTGACTGGCTGTGTCTTAGGTTTCTGATGATAGATATTTAAGTTTTTCTTTTTAATCTGTACTTCCAAAATTTTCTGCGGTGAACTTGACATGCTTTTGTGATAAGTAAAAATGTAATCAGAGTCACCTTTCATTAAAGAATGAACTTCAGATTGTGTTCTCACTGTGCTGGGTAACCAACAAAGTGATTAAAAGATGTTACCTTCTAATCCATGGCCCGCAGACAACAGCCCACTGGCTGGATTCATCCTGCAACTTATTTTTATATGGCCCACAAGCTCAGAATGGTTTTTATATTTTTAAAAAGTTGGAGGGGAAATCAAAAGCAGTAGTATTGGGGGACGTGAAAATTAGACGATATTTGACTCTCAGTGTCCACAGTCAGGCCCTGTTGGCTCACAGCCATCCCCATTCACGTACACGTTGTCTACACTGCTTTTGTCCCTCAGGGGCACAGGAGAGCAGTCAGGACAGGCACATCTGGCCTGCAAGGCCAAAAATATTTACTCTTAGACTCTTTATAGAAAAAGGCTTTGCTGCCCTTGCTCTAGTTGCTTTCAATCCCTTTTATTCAGTACATTCTTCTTTTTGTTTAAAAAAAAAAAAAAAGGTTATTTTTTCCTTCATCCTTATGACTAGAGAGATCACTTGTGTTTCCCCCTCAAACTCACCCAGGACATACAAGGATACTAAACCATAAAGACACCCTGCCCCGTTTTCTTCAATGCTCCTTTCCTTCAGCTTCCACTAAGTTTCAAATTGGCTGTTGACGAGTTGGCCAGAGATGCTAGGAGGCTCATCATCTCCCACATTCTTCTTCCCATCACAGGGAAATGCTGTCGACCCACAGCAGCCCTTACAAAACCCTGGAGCGGCGGCCCACCGGTGGACGGAGCATGCCCACCACTCCCGTTCTGACCCGAAATGCCTACAGCAGCAGCCACTTGGAGTAAGAGTGCTTCTTTCCAGTGACTTTGACACTGTTGATTTTGCTTTACTGTGTTGGTTTTGCTTTGCTTTGTTTTGCGTTTTAATCATTTTAAGGGACTCGGTGCAGCGGGACTGCGTTACAGATCCACATTTTCTACTTAACGGTTCAGTGACACTGGCAAAGAAAATGTACTGAAATGTACCCGCTTTGTGCGGGTAGATAGGAGATTTTTTTGTGCGTGTGCCTTAGTTTTCCCAGCCAGACATCGCTGTTTGTTATTCGGTGGTGAGGATGAGGATTATGACATGAGCAACACTTTGAAGCATTTAGGGAAGGTTTCGCTAGCTCTTTTATAAGCCTGATATTTTTTAAAATTTTTTTAAGGTTTTATTTATTTATTTCTCAGAGAGAGAGAGAACACAAGCAGGGTGAGTGGCAGGCAGAGGGAGAAGCAGGCTCCCCACTTAGCAGGGAGCCCAGTGTGGGGCTCGATCCCAGGACCCTGGGATCATGACCTGAGCCGAAGGCAGACACTTTACTGACTGAGCCCCCAGGTGCCCCATATGCCTGATATTATTCAGTACACGTGACAAGCCGAACTGTAGATCTCAGATCCTGTTTTACCTCCTCATTTTAGGGATGAGGATTAAGAGAGGTTCAGTGTCTTACCCAAGCTCACACAGCTGGGAGATGGCAGAGCTAAGACCCCCCCCCAGATAAGTCTGCTGTCAGAGCCAGGCTCTCCCCCGAGCAGTGCTCCCTCTGCCCTAGTCTGTGTCTCCTTCACTCCTGTTGGAAGAGAGGAACCTCCAAAGACGCTTGGGCTTTTTTTTTTAGGCTTTGATGCAGCTTGTGCATCATCCGTTTTCTTCCCCGCTCTCGAGTAAGGCTTTGGATCGCACAGTTGTTAGAACCTGGTTCTCTTCGCCTTCTGACGATGACACAGTGCACTTGTGTGGCAGCCGATGGGTTATATGAAAAATGTGTCCTCTCATGCAGTCAGCTTTGGAAACCTTGAGTCTTACAACAGTTCAGGGTGATAAAATCCTTCACCGCCATGATCATGTGTTTCATTTCAGTCAGTCCGTCCTTTCTTCCTCTGTTATAAATTGGCCTCTCTCCTCCCACAGACCCGAATCTTCCTCCCAGCACTGCCGCCAGCGCAGCGGAAGCCTCGAGTCTCAGTCCCACCTGCTATCTGAGATGGACAGCGATAAGCCATTTTTCTCCCTCTCCAAATCCCAAAGAAGTAGTAGTACGGAGATCCTGGACGACGGGTCCTCCTACACCAGCCAGTCAAGCACGGAGTATTACTGCGTGACGCCCGTCGCCGGCCCCTATTACACTACCCAGACTCTGGACACTCGTGCCAGGGGCCGGAGAAGGTCCAAGAAACAGAATGTTTCGACTTCAAATTCAGGAAGCATGCCCAACCTAGCACAAAAGGATAGTTTGAGGAATGGCGTCTACACAAAGAGCCAGGAACAACCTTCTTCTAGTTACTATATTGCTGGGTACACACCCTACGCGGAGTGTGATCTTTATTACAGCGGAGGCTACGTCTATGAGAACGACACAGAGGGACAGTACAGCGTCAATCCTTCCTACCGTTCCTCGGCCCACTATGGATACGAGCGCCAGCGGGACTACAGCAGGTCCTTTCATGAGGATGAGGTCGACCATGTGCCCCATAACCCATATGCAACTCTCCGGCTGCCTAGGAAGGCTGCTGCTAAGTCGGAGCACATCACCAAAAACATCCACAAGGCCTTAGTTGCAGAGCACCTGCGTGGCTGGTACCAGCGGGCCTCTGGACAAAAGGACCCGGGGCACAGCCCACAGACTAGCTTTGACTCAGACAGGGGATCGCAGAGGTGCTTGGGGTTTGCAGGGCTGCCAGTACCCTGTTCTCCCAGCAGCCGAACATCCTCCTACTCTTCCGGTAAGAACACTGCGGACGCTCTTGGTCCCTGCATCGAATTTACCTCCTCTCCCGTGCCCGTGCTGCCCCCAAACCACTCCCCTCAGGGAATCACAGGACCAGTCCCCAAGGTCGTGACCCTGGTACCATTCCGTGGGGCCACAGTAAGAATCGCCAACTTGAAAATAGTTCTTCTCTTTGTGTTTCCAAAGAACATAGTCCGCGGTGCTCGCTTCGTCAGTACATAGACTAAAATTAAGAACACAGTCCGTGGGAGTCCACTGTAGCAATTGGTAGATTCCAATCCAACAAGTGTTCATTGAGCACCTACTCTCTGCTGCCCTGAGTGAGGGGCTTTCAAATAGTGTATCTTTTCCACATGTCATAAAAGTGTGCAGGTCCCTGATGTCTGACCTGTTCAAAAAGTAGAGTAAACCCGTCAGGTAAACAGAAAACATTAGGACTATGCATCCTACCCTGTTCACCACCAGGAACTTGATCCTCTAAGGGCAGTTGGTTTTGAAAGTTCAGGTGGCCATGTGAGGCTCCTAACAATTCTGATGGGAGCCAGTAATTTGTAAGCTCTGTTCCTGGTACTGTTCTATGTGCTTCTAATACCTTGACTCAGTTCAGTAACTTGTCATATATACTCTACGTTAGGGTTGACGTAAGGGATTTTCAAAGATAATTTTGGTTAGAGAGGTTCCCTCACACACGGACTTTGGCCCCTCACTCCACTAAAATTCATGGCAGACTTACTGTTTACTAACCTCACCAAGTACAGAAATGAGGGGAAAGAGGAGTGTTTGCCTCGGGTTTCATTGATTCAACAAACAAGCAGGCAGATCTCGGATGCTGAGGAGCCAATGTTGACCCAGTTTCTGGCCTTGAGGAGCGCACAGTCTAGTCAGCAGCCAGAGGAATGTATACACATTAAGCAATTTTTAGGCTCTAAAATGAATGAGTTCTTGAACTATGTGAAAACCTGAAGTCATGCGTTCTTCCCCTCTTTCAGGCATGACCCCTTTAGTAAGACACAGCACGGGGATTCCCAAATCATTGCGTAAGAGTCGACGAAGACTGTGCCTTTAAAAATTTCCCAAGCTTGTTGACCAGAGGCATTGCCATGGAGATTTCTGTTTGGGTTTACAGTCTCCTCTGTTGTGGAGGACTTTGGACTTCCGCTAGAACTTTCCCATTTATTACCACATCTAATATATGAAAAGGCTCCTGTCCTTATTCCTGGTTAGTTATGGCTCTTATCTAGGGAACGCCTTTCTTCCCTGCCCCCCACCCCAAGTTCAGGGCACGGCATGAGAATCTTTCGGAAAACAAACACCGGGAGGGTGTTAGAAGGAACCAACAAGGAGGACTGAGATGTATATATGGATGGTCATCAGGGCACAGGGCTGGGGTGATACCATCTTAAGCAGGGAGGCTGGCGACGAGCAGGTGTATACCTCAGAAACCACAGCGTTACTGGTGGTTGACCCAGTGTCTGGGGCAAAGGTGAGAAAGGACTTAGTGCTTCCTGAGTCACACTCAGGAGGGGCCTGGCGGGTAGCTGGTGAATTTGGCCCCACAGACCAAAAGGCATTCCACATTAAAGAATTAAAGGGATGGAATTAGAGCTCCTCGAGAAAATTCCTTTTGGAATTTTCCTCATTCCTGTCAACATTTCATAGCTACAAAAATGTATGACAACAGGCATGCGCCAGGGAGCGTTTCCTGTTATCTGTCAAAGTAGTCAGGGGTTTTGTAGTTCCTTGCGGCCGTCTAAAGACTCTCTTGGTGACTCCGTTTTGGTGGTAATGACAGCCACCATTTCTTGGCAGCTTCCCCTGAGCCACGCCACATGCTCAGTGCCTTACTGCCCCATCCCATCTCATGTGTGCCACAGATCATGAGTGCTGTTGTTAGGTCTGTTATCGCTGTCCTCAACTAGCTGTGAAGGCGGTTCTGGTTTAGAGAGTGGAAATGACCCTGGCCAAGCCCAGGAGCTCATAAGTGCTTGAGTGGGAATTCCCGCCCAGCTCTGACACCTTAACCACCAAGCTTCACAGCCTCTGACTCAGAGTTATGAAACATTCTTAGAAACTCAAAGTGAGGGAATTACATCTTTGAGTCAAAACCCTCATGGCATCCGGGGCCACAGATGAGTTTTGAAAGGCGTCTGCCGTGCACTGGTCACGAGGGCTTTGTGGGTGTGAGAGAGAAGAGGAGGAAGGTGGCCGCCAAGAACAGGAAATGGAGGGTGACCGGAAGCATCCATGAGCGGTGCTGGTCTTGGACCGGCTTGGCGTTGTGGTCACCTGCATCCCAGGCATGGAGCAGGACTGGTTTTAGAGAGAGGACAGCAAACACTCCATGATGAGACGTTCACTGGGCTTTGGTCCCAAACTGTGCCCTTGTCTTGTTCTAGTTCAGTCCCTCAGTAGAACTAATTCCCTCCTGTACTACTTATACTCTCCTCCCTTTCCACCACACACACTTACTTTTAAGGGAAAAATTATGCGTGGATCCTGCTAGCAGCTGGTTGCCTTGGGCCAAGGAACAAGTCATGTCCCAACAGGTCAACTTGTGGAGTGCTTTTCCTCCAAAGGCCTCTGAGAAACTCAAACTGGTCATCTTATCTTTACAAATAAAGCCTTATCTGTCCAGCCACCCTAGCCAGAATGGAGAGACTCTCTCTATATATGAGAATGTTTTTTCGACTGGTCTTGTAGGTTATTTTTTACAGCCTGCCTTTCAATTAACTTTATTCCCATTGATAACACCAATAGTTGTCATTTTGGGGGTGTTTACTCTATACCAGCCACAGTGCTAAACATTCTCATATATAACCTTATTTAATCCTGGTATCATCCCTGTACAGGGTATATTTGCATTATTATCCCCACTTTACAAGTGAAGAAACTGAGACTTAGAGAGAATAAACTATTTGCCCAAGGTCACATGGCCAGTGACTAAACTGGAATAGGATAAAACATTGGCTTTTAATCTCTGCACATGGATGATTATAATGTACATCTAAATGGCCTAAATAGTCTTTGCTTTGAATATTCGCACTAATTCTGTCTCTTTCCCTTTTTATTTCTAGTATCTTCTACAAATGCTTCCGGGAACTGGAGGACCCAGATAGCAGTAGGGCTATCCGACTACGAGACCCCGGCACATTCTTCCTACACCAGCTGCTATGGCAACATGTATAATCCTTTGCCCTCTCCAGGCAGGTGAGAAAGCAATGCTCCAAAATTCTAGTAGCCTCTTCCTGGTCAAATAATTGAGGAATTCTGTTCTATTTTATGAAAGCTCAAAGATCACCAGACTATAGCCTACTGGCCAAAAGCAGCTGCCACCTGTTTTTGTAAGTTAAGTTTTATTGGAAAACGGCCATGTTCATTCATGTACATTTTATCTGTGGCTGGTTTTGTACTGTGAGGGCAGAGTGGAGTAGTGACAGAGCCCTCATGGCCAACAAAGCCAAAAACATCTGGCCTTTTAAGAAAAGGTTTGTTGACTCCTCAACTAGAATGTTGAAATTTGACTTCATTCCATAGTCTTCAGGAAGGTCTTAAATTCTGTATCTGATGGGTTTTTTTTTTAATTGTAGTACTTTAAATGGTATTACTGATATACCCATTTAAGACTCTCCTGGAACCTTGGAGAAAAAATACCTCTACTCCAGAAAAGGCTGTTCACATCAACATTCCTCGTAGACAGTTGGTGGGTTTGATTTCAGTGAACATTTGCTACAGACACACCCAGCTGTCCTATTTGTAATCATGGTTCTTTGTAAACATTGGGAGGAAATATACAAGAACAATTTGTTAAAATGTGATTTTAAAAAAGAGGGCTAACTCCGCATTACATGTTTTTCACTTATTTATAGATGCAGGAATTAAGTTTGAAGAGGTCTTTTCTATCTGTCACTTTTCACAGAATATAATACACACCCATCATGCCAAGAAATAGAGCATTTTATTTTGTTTTGTTTTTAAAGGTTTTTTATTTTTTTTAAGATTTTATTTATGTATTTGACAGACGGAGATCACAAGTAGGCAGAGAGGCAGGCAGAGAGAAAGAGGGGGGAAGCAGGCTCCCTGCTGAGCGGAGAGCCTGATGCAGGGCTCGACCCCAGGACCCTGGGATCATGACCTGAGCCGAAGGCAGAGGCTTCAACCCACTGAGCCACCCAGGTGCCCTGAGCATTTTGTTTTTATATAATTTTGCTCTAGGTCAAATTGCTTCAGGCATAGGGAGACTTACACAGGCAATAACTTGTCAAAGTGTCTATCCTGGTGAATTTGAGAGGTTAATTTCTTTTCTTTTTTTACTTCAATTTTTTATTTCGATTCTAGTTGGTTAACCTATATGGTAAAATTGGTTTCAGGAGTAGAAGCCAGTGACCCGTCATTTACGTACATCACCCAGTGCTCCTCACAAGTGACCTCCTTAATCCCTATCACCTGTCTAGCCCGTCCCCCACCCACCTCCCTCCATCAACCCTCATTTTCTTCTCTATAGTCAAGAGTCTCGTATGGTTTGCTTCCCTCCCTCTCTCTCTCTTTTATTTTTTTCCCTTCCACTGTGTTCATCTGTTTTGTTTCTTAAATTCCACACATGAGTGAAATCATAATTTCTTAATAAAGTACTCAGTGTTACAAACGATTTGGAGGTATTCAATCCCCTAAACCTTATTTTTCTTCTCCTTGTTCAAGGAGAGTTTTTCTTGGCTTGAACTGTTAGGCCAATTGTCTCAACTCAACAAAGGGGGTGCTCAAAATAGAATTTTAGTGAAAATATACCTCAGGGGACTTCAAATAGCTTGGGTTTCTGTAAATAATGCTTGCAAATGAGTTAGGAGCAAGAACTAAAATGCCTTTGGCCCAAAACTGGAGCTGCACTTTTTCAAGCCAGTTCTCGTCATTTTGTATGATTCATCTGCACATAGTTTTCCCCGTTTGTAATAGTTCGACTTTCCTTTTCACAGACTGCGTAAGAAACAGTACCAAAGCGCATAAGACAGTTTGAAAATCGTTAACACCACTTTCACTGGACTCAGGAAGTAGTAAACATTTTTGGAGAAAATCTGTTTTTACCAAGTATGCCTGTCTTTCTCAGAGAGCCAGCCCAAGATGGCTTGACATGGAGTCTGGTGTCAGAGGGGGGGTAATCTACAGGAAATTAGAAACTATTTAAAGATCTCTATTGTTTGTGTTCACATGCACATCGTATGAGCTCATTGTGGAAAAATTAGGAAAATAATAAAGGGATAAATAAGTAGGAAATCTTCTGCCATCTAGAGATGGTAGCCATTAGCATTTTGACACATTCCTCCATTTTCCAGTATCCCTTTTTACATATTCATAATGACCATGACCATAATGATAACTTTATGTTCAGTTGTACACCTTTCATTGTCTATGAACTTCTGCATCCCAATTTTATACTTCATATCACAATATAAACATGTTCCCATATTTTTTTAAAACTCTTTAAACCTTATTTTATGTTTTCCACATGACATTACACTCAGTAAATCTACCATACTTCATTTAACAGTTCCCATGTTTTGAATTTGAATGGTTCTTAGATTTTCTCATCTTTTTCTTGTAATGTTACTGTTAATGTCTTTGTGTAAATATTTGTCTGAATTCCAGATTATTGCCTTAGGATACATTCTAGTGAGGAGAAATAATGGATTAAATTGAAAAGTGTATTTTTTTAAGCCCTTGCTTCCCAGAAAGATTTGCCAATTTACCCTCCCAGCAACAGAGGTATGGGTGTGCTAGTTTCCATCTATTTGCCTATTAAGGATTTTTTTTTTTATATATACATACCCCTCAGAGTGACCAATTTAACTTGACCTACTAACAAAGCAAGTATCACAACAGCCATCAAGTTTTAGAAATTTGCTGTAAAATTGTTATTTTTGAGGAAAACATAATTTTTTAAAAGAAGAAATTGGGTTTCAAGATAAAGATAAAAAAGAAAAACTTTAGCTCTGCCCTGAAGTTAAAGATTTAAATAATTTTTTAAACAAAGCAAGTACATAGTATTTCAAGATCCTCTCCCCCAGAGTGTCTGGCTCTTAACATTGACAGAAAGCTACACATTTTTACCAATAAAAATTTATTTCCAAGTATGCTGTGGCATAATTGTCAGTGGCAGAGACTTTCTAAAATCATAAATGGCAACATCTCTTATGCTCCCTAGATTATAATGCAGTCAGATTCTTGGCTCTATGCTGCAAGTGTGTTTTCAAATAACATTTCCCCCCCCCCCCCTTGGCTTCCTGTTTTCCATTTCCCATCCTCTTCCTAATCTAACTCTCCCTCTACTAGGCAACGCCAAGGGCTTCTGTCGCAGAGAATGGTTGTGTCTCCCGAAATGAGATCAGTTTTCAGTTCTCTTTTGCTCAGTGTAGCCAGCTGTAGTAAGTAGAGCCCTCAGCGCCGTCTTCTCCATCTTGCCCTCGTAGCAGGAGTCTGCCTTGTTCTGGCTGGTGTGTGAAGCTGTGGAACTCCGACTTTGTGTTTATAGTAGAGGAAAACACTGAATACCTGATTTCATGTAGTATTCCTTTCCTCAGCTCTCCTCCCAGTGACTTTTTAACCAACCTGACTAAAGAAATTTACAGTGAAAAGAAACCTACTAACTCTCTAACCTGTTCTAAGTGACTGCTGCAGGAATGAGGTTTTGCTTATTGGAATGGTTTGTGTGATAGGATGCCTTCCTTTGGCTATGCCATCCAAGTATGCCTATGATTTTTGTATGCAATGTTGTTTCCCATTTATGCTCGGCCCATGGACCCTAGGGATGTAAGGTTTGTCCCTGGGTGCCCCTGCCTGCCACTAAATATATTCCTTTGTCCCTGAGGAAAGCATCTAGTATATTCCCTTAATGTGAAGAATATTTAAAATGTGGCTGTCAAAAATACTTTTTAAAAAGTTAAAAATACGACTTTCACACAGAGAGGAAATGGGCATGTGTCAAAGATTTCTTTAACTCATTAATGAGAGAACTAACAGAATGGGAAAGCTGCTTCCCAGAGAATTCAAAAGACCGAATTCAACCCAATGAAAGATAAGACGTTGGAATAAGATTACTAAATAAGATTTAAAAACCAGTTAATGACCTACAGGGCAATGAAACTATAACCATAATCTTTTTATGGTAGACCAAAGTTATCTGTACTTCTTCCCGACAAAAAAAAAAAAAAAAAAATCTACGAGTTAACCTGTAACTTACCACAATCTGGATCCTGATATCCGTGGTTAAAAATAAGTGAGACAAAGGAATATCTCCCTAGAGAATCAAGTACACCTTGCATGGGCCTTTTTGACAATGCGCCAATAGGACAAGGAAAGAACACGCCGTCATCCTTTGCCTTGACAGTGCTTTCTACTAATTCTTTGAGTAGAGTACTCTTTCTACTCTGGTAATAAAAATGACCACAAGTAATAACTCTTCTGGTTTCCTTTACTAGACAGTACCCAGAGATCAGCACAGAGGGAAGCCGGTCGGAGGACAGCCTGGAGAGCAGGGAGCAGAGGCTGTTCTGGCATGAAGATTCGAAGCCTGGAACGTTAGTCTGAACTGCCATCGGACCTCTTGGCCAAGCGCTGCGTCCTCACACTAGTGTGCCTTGCAAAATGTGTTGTCTTCCCAGAAAGCTGTTCGGCTCTAGAAAGCTAAAGGCATCCGAGGTCCAAGAGAGGACTTACTGGTCCCAGAAGGGAGTCCTCCACGGAGGCTGAGCCTGCCTGCGCCAGGTCCCTGAACGGCTTGCCTTCCCCCCTCGGGGCACTCACCCGACAGAGCCAGGTGGAACTGTGGCCAAGGGAGGACTCAGCCTCAATCGGTAGCAAGCACTTTTTAAGGGAATAAAAGTTGTTGAAGGCAAACCGCAAAACTGTGACCAGTGCGTTCAGGGTCTCCAGTAGGAAGGAAGGACGGGAAATTGCAGAGCACAATTCAGAATGATGAGAAAAGGGAAAGCAGAAGCTCCTTAGTCATTACTCACCTTCAGAAAGTTTGGGTTTGTGAGCCGGCGAGGAATCACTTGCTCTCTCTACCCGCATCTGAACCATTTAGACAGTATTGGAAAATTACTTGAAGAGAAGCTGGAGTCTCATGAAGTTCTGAATGAGTTGTAAATGTTTCTAGGATATTATAAAGAGTGATGGTTTTCATAAACCCCGTAAAATGGGTTCTGGAGAGACTTATTGCTGTAGCATCCTGTAATATAACTTTATGGTAGCAGATTGGGAAAAACAAAGCAGCCCACTGAATTGACAAATTCTGCTTGGAGAATGTTCTAAGGTACAATATTATTGGGTTCCTTTTTTCTTTCTACACCAGTGGCCTGATGGGTTATATTATTCAGGCTGGTAACTCTCCCATTCTGCTGCCATTGGAAATGGCAGACCTGATATGGAAAGTTTTTCTAATCCAGAGTTTGAAAAAGTACTTTAAGGTAATACAGAAAGAACCCAAAACAAAATGAAATGGAAAAAAAAAAAAAAAAGCCACAGCATGGTCGATGAATTGTGTGCCTTAAAATGGTGAACATTAGAAAAGTAAGCATATTGTCCAGATTCTGCGGGGGGGGGGGGGGGGGGTACAAAGTCACCAATGAAAAAAACAAGTTTAGTCATTAAAAAAAACAAAAAACTCCAAGCGGCAGTAGATTTAATTATGAGGCTAAAACTACCTCATACTTTACTCCGAAGAACTAATTAGCTATGGTTTATTGTAGTGTGTTTTTTAAAAAAACAAAAGACAAAACAAAAAAACCCACAAATGTTTCTGTATTCTAGATTGCTCTTTTTTGTCATCTTCACTCTGCTTCAATATTCCATAAAAGGTGCTCCCTTCCCCCCTTTTATACAGGTTTCATGTTCATATTGTGAATAGAAAAGTTTCTGAACAACTTTTTTGGAACATTTTCTATCTATATTCCAAAGCATGTAATATATACATAAAGATGATTTGTTAAACTGGTCCTCAGTCATTTGTATCATTAAATATGAAGTTTGGGGGAAAAATTTGGAACAAACAAGAAGACATGCAAAAAAAAAATAAGTTATTCCTTTTTGCATATCTGTATAGCCTTCCAGAAACAGAAATACCCTTTTGCATATTCTTTTACTGTTCTGACTTTTTAAGACCTATTATTTTTTTTACATAGGTCAATAAAAACTGAAGGTGTGCTACTGAAAATGTTTACGTCTTCTTCCATTACATTCAGGGTTCAAAGCAGTTTAAAGTGCTCTACTTCAAGTAATCATGTTGGACAAGATGGCAGATTTTCAGTTATTAGTATTACAATATTCTGTTGATGCCAAAATGCACATTTTTTTCATATTTACATCTTTGAAATCAGGATACATCTTTTGATGGATGGCATGCTCTCAATGAATTGGCAGTGTTTTTTTCTTTCTTAGTGCTCCATAAAATAATGCTGTGTCTCACAATAAAGTTGTCTTAGAATTGATGAAATACGGTAGTTTATTGCCTCACTGAGGATGACAGATGTGGATTTTTAGGCTTCCTAATCTCATGAATGTTGTTTATTTGTAACAAGTCATTCATCTAGTTTTGCCGACTGCCAACCAGGTCTTTTAAATTCAAGAAAATGTTTCATCTGACATCTATTTATCCTGCACAATGGGGAGAAGGGAATGGGAAATGAAATGTAGGAAGACCTTCATATTTCTCTGCAAGTATCTCAGATGGAAATAACCTCCTTCTGTTCAAGAAAGGGGATGCTCAGAATTACAAATACACTTCAAAAGAGCACATGGAACTTGGCTCCCAAATGGTTAAAAAAAAAGATACAGAAATGGAGTGGCCGTGCTGTATGATTTTTTCCCCCTATCTTTTTATGAAAACCTCTCTCTAGCACATTTGGTGTGTTTATTAATAACCAAAACATGGCAGAGGTAAATTATTCAACATAACCCATCGATCTGTTTTCTCATTACAAGGTGTCATATCTTCCTGATAAAAATTTTAAATGCAAAAAAAATTTTTTTTTAGCTCAAACACACTGCAGATACATAAGAACATTACTGTGCCCTGGGAGCCTAATGTGACCAGATGTAAGGATTGGTTATTTATTTTCTGTTAGTTCACATTTTCTTCTATGCATACAGTAGTGTTTTTAAAATTCAGCATATTACAAGGGCAGTTTACAACTTGTTTTTTTCACCTAGTGTAGCTTGGGCCTCTCTGTATCAGTATATATGGATCTACCTCATAAAGATGTATATTTTACAAGGTGGATTTTTTTTTTAATTGCCTCACCTTCCTGCTGTTCATAGTTTTTCTATATTTCAGAAAATTCTTCAAAATTCTTTCTTGTACTCATAGAAGCTTAACATTACAAGTAATAAAGATTCCAGAATTGTTTCACACTGTTAGTTTGGCCTGTTCTTAGGAACAAAGGTTCAGACTGAAGAGTTCCTTCAAATCTTAGTGCTTCAGAGCATTTGGAAGTGGAATAATGACTTTCTGCAGGACAGTAGAAAAGTTGAGATGATTTTCTAGAGTAATTTCCAAAGGATCAATGGTAAAAGACAAGGTTTTTTTAAATGTTCCACTATTGTGGCCTCTAGTTCTGTGAAGACAAAAATGAATTGCCAAGGAAAACACGTTAATTTAAAAAATGAACTCCTAGGGAAGTGGAAAAAACAAATAGATACAAAGATATACATTCCTGCTCATTATTAGATTCATCGGGCATAAAACTACTCTGTCGAGTCATAATCACAGATTCTGAACACTTTCTGAACTGAACTTCGATTTACGTTCCGCTAACAGTTTCTTAACTCCCCGTGTTCCTCACTCAAGTTAACACACAGCGTTCTGTTAGTTTCAGGCTACAATCCATTGATCCAACGATTCCACGGACAACTCAGGGCTCACGGTCGCAAGAGCGTCTGGACCACCCTCTGAGTACCGTGAACCTGGAGCTCTGCACAGTAGGTTCCCATCCGCACACGTTAGTAAGGCAAGTCGTTCATCATTCCCTGTGACCTCACAAGGCGTGGAGATGCAGTTCATCTCCAAAGAGAAAAATCTGTTTAACACAGAAACGGAGCCCGGCACAGATGCAAAACTTAACTTATCCTCCTCCTCCAACTTTCTGCTCAAGCCCTTTGCCTCTTGTGTTCTTCACGTTTCCCACTCCAGTCCAGTCCCCTCCTCTGGGTCCTCATCGGACTCTCCTGCCTCCTCTCCATCCCCCATCCTTGTGCCACCCCAGAAAAGCAAGAAAATAAGCATGTCCTGCTACAAAACTGAGTTGGCATTCATAGATTTCTGGGCCAGTGTGTGCCAGGCTGGCCTGAAGTGCCGTGTGTGGGAGCAGCTCTAATCCCCACCACAGCAGCGCAGGGCCATGATGTTATCTCCATGTTACTGGAGCTGAGTTTTGGGAAGGACAAGTCATTTGTCAGAAGTCATGTGGCTCTTGGGAGAAAAGCAGGAAACAGATTTTGATTTGTCCAACACCAAATCCTAAATTAATTGCACTCTTGTTCCAAGAACAATTTCTCTACCGTCAGGGTAGCAAACGAGATTTTTAGAAAAAATTCATTTAGGGGCGCCTGGGTGGTTCAGTTGGTTAAGCGACTGACTCGGAGTTTCAGCTCAGGTCGTGATCTCTGGATGCTGGAATCAAGCCCTGCGTCGGGGTCCATCCACACTTAGTGTCGGGTCTGCTTGAGACATTCTCTCCGGCCTTCCCCATGTGCTATCTCTCAAATAAATCTTGAAAAAAAAAAAAAAGTGTGTGTGTGTGTGTGTATGTCATGAAATTGAGTGAATATATGCTAGATCTTTGTATCTATTTGTTTTTTCCACTTCCCTAGGAGTTCATTTTTTAAATTAACGTGTTTAGCTGTCCTTGCCTTTTTTTTTTTTTTTCTTCCTATTACCAGTGGCAAAAAGGCAGAGGCAGGCCTCAGGCTGAATATGGGTGAAGATAACCCTTATCTGGGTTCGGACCCAGCCTTGCAGCCTGGTAGGAGGCATTATGTATTGCTATGTGAGCCCATCAGTGGACCAAGTACATTTGTTAACTTCTTTTCAAGTCAATAAAATGTCTCACACCAGTGAATATACTTGTTACAATCACAGATAACCATAATGAGCTAAATATTGATCAGTAGCACTGAAAATATCTAACGATCTTTCTCCAGCTCTGACGGTTCAGGGCAGTAGGATAATATGAGGTTTATATGCTCCGCTACCATGACCCTGAGGAATCCTCTCAGAATTGACCTCTATCAGATGTATGTGCCTGGGGGGCTTTCCCTCTTGATTGTCCTTGGAAAGAGTGAATCTGGGATGAATCTATTAGAATCCGAGCCCAGTGCCAGAAAAATCCTTCTAATACTTCCAACCTTTTCTACTTTTGATGCCTCATTGAGTATCTCCCCTGCAAAAGAAAATAGGAACTATGCATCAAAATTTGTTTTTGTAATACCTAGCTAATTAGTAACATCAGCACACACACAAACATGTTTTCTCCCTTTTGCTTTTGAGTATCAGCAGTCTTGACAAGAATGGTGATTGGGACCAAGGGAATGGGGGGTGGGAGATGACCTAACTGCTGAGTTTTAAATAATTATCTCTTCTTGATAAATAACTATCTCTAAGTGCTTGTTATACTTAAGAAATGTCCAAGGATTAAAAGTTCTGTGATTTCCAGTTACAGCTGTACCAACAGCTATGGGGCGTTTGCAAATGTGAATGTGTTGCTGTATTTTAGAATCCTTCAATGATTTGGAAATACTACTGGTGTATAGGGACCAGGGACGTTAAATAGGTATTAGCCATGGGATGGTCCCATGCAACAAATAGTTGTTCTACCCAAACTGCCCAAAGTGACCCCACTGAGAAACCCTGGGGGTCTTACTAGGAAAACATGTTAAATCCATTGTATGGGTGCTGCCTTCCTGCGTTTAAAGCAGAGATTTCTCAATTCTGAAGGGAGGAAAGGGAAAAGTAAAGGAGATGATTATTTCCTGAGGATGCGGAGAGATTGTATGTGAGCTGAAAAGGCATATATCCAACAAATATTAGAACACCAACTAGGGTCACTGTTCTAGGCAGTGAGGATAGAATGTTTACCTGAAGCTGGCTGTCCAATCAGTGAGGGAGAAACAGAAGGGACCAATGTTATGTTTAGAAGCATCATTAGTCTTACGAAAGCCAAGCATGGTGAGAAAAGAAAGGATGGAGATGATAGCCTAGGTTGCGGGGACATAATGCGGCCTTTGGGGAGGTGATGCTTCATCCAAGGCTTGGGCAGGAAGAGAAGGTCCGGTTAATCAAGAAGGAAAAAGAGCTCTCCCACGGTTAAGAGAATGTCACCACAGGGGCTCCTGGGTGGCTCAGTCGGAAAAGCGTCTGACTCCTGATTTCAGCTTGGGTCATGATCTTACAGGTCATGAGATCAAATCCTACATCAGGCTCTGCACTAGCCATGGAGCCTGATTAAGATTCTGTCTCTCTCTC